ATTTTTATCAAGAAAACGCGCGAGCATGCATGTGCAGTGTTTAAGTACACACGCAATCACTTTCAGACTACATCAATTTTTGCTACTGCTATTATTAATAAAAAAAAAGTCAATTTTTGTGGATAATTTAATAATTTATTGAAGATCGTTCATGCTCTAAATTTAAAAATACGTCTTACATCATCCTTATCATATTCTATGTCAGAACTAATAGAAAGTTTAAGAGTTTAAGCATAAAATTACACCTAATATATTTAGGATCAAATTCAATATATTTTTATGACCAAATTCAATATAACACCTAGCGTAGTGAATATATTTAATATAACCCAATATATTTTTAAAAGTTTTTTTTTAATTTTTTAATTATAAAACTAAAATTTTAAGCTTAAAAAATCACACCTAATAAAAAGACTTTGCTTTGCTCCACCAATTTTAGTCAAAGAAAGATTTTTTTTTTAAAGGGTCTATTTGGGCATATATTGAACTTATTGAAGAATTTAATGAATAAACAAATAACTTTAAGAAAATACATCACAAGGAAAAAAAGATATGAACTATTAAAAGAATAAAGAATATAACTAAAAAATAAAGTATTACCTGGTCATTGTGGAAAAAGTGATAAATGTCCTCGTGCCTCCATAGTCGAACAAGGGTTTTTACGACTAGAATACAATTGTTGGCTTGAAATTTCAAGGCCCATTTCCCTCAGAAGATCATGCATCTCAATGAAATCATTATGATTATTAAATGAAATGAGGGACTTTTCTCTTAGAACACTTATCTCAATATGCATAGAAGAGCAATATAATTGTCTCAATAGGTTCAAAGAAAATGAACTCCTTGCTTGATTAAGAATGCTAGGTCAAGAAACACATTTTGCTGTTTGTCATCAAGTCCATCGAAACTCAACTTCAAAACATCAACAATGTCCTTGGGTGGAGATTGATTTAGTTTTTCCAAAGCACTTTCCCACTCTTCTTTTTGTCTGCCATAGAGGAAGCAACCCAGCACTACTAGGGCTAATGGGTTTCCATGACAATATTTCACTACTGATTTTGATAACTCCATGTAACCTTTAGATGGCTCATCTCGCTTGAATGCTTTCAAATTGAAGAGATGAAAAGCACCTTCAAAATCCAAATCCGGAACGTGATATGTTGAAGATGCTGCTGAAGCATTCTTCAGCACTTGCATGTCCCTTGATGTGATAATAATTCTACTTCCTTCTCCAAACCAATCAAGTACCTTGGTTAAATCTGCCGCTACTATTGAATTGTCCACATCATCAAGTATAAGAAGAATTTTTTTTCTCTGAAGCCTACTTTTCATAAAAGTGGTTTTTATGTCATAGATGCTAATGTCCTCATCTTTTAATAATTCTCTGAGGCAATTCTTCTGTAGCTCATCCAAACTAATCCTTTTTAATTGCTCTTTGACATTTTCAATAAAGGAGAAAGCATCAAATTGAGCTTTCAACTCCTGAAGTATAGCTTTAGCAAGTGTGGTCTTACCAGCACCGCCCATACCCCGTATTCCCACAATGCGGGCCTCAATTAGAAGCCTCTGAATGTTTCTAACATGTCGAGCAATACCAATGAGTCCTTCAAGATGAGATGATGACGTATAGTTCAACTTTCTCAAAATATCCTTGACAATCTCTTCAATAAGTTTGAATTCAGGTCTAGCATAAATGTCAATCAAAAGAAAACGCATAAATCCCCAAAACCAACAAATAAAAACATTAACAATTTGCTAGAATTCTAAAAATTAATTGAATAAATCCCCAATACCAACAACAAAAGGAACATTTTTGAAGCTACCTTGTACTGTGGGAATCCCATCCAGAGAGATTTGTAGATTGGATTAAAGCATTTCTCCACTTTTGCAATGCTTCTGGGTTGTCTTTAAATCTTTGCTCCAATACATCAAATCCTTTTCCAAAATTCCCATTTTGTTTGCGTATGCTTGAAGGATCTACGTTATAGAAAACAGGTATCACAACCCTTCCAAATTTACGCTTGCATTCTAATATGTGAACAAGCTCATCTAGACACCAAGTTGAAGAAGCATAATTCTCAGAGAAAATAATCACAGATATTTCTGATTCCCCTATTGTTCTTTGAAGAATCGGTGAGATTGATTCTCCTTTTCGAAGTTCGTGATCCATAAAAGTGTGAATGCCCGCATTTCGAAGTCCTTTGTAAAGATAACTTGCAAAATTGTGGCGAGTGTCTTCTCCTCTAAAGCTAAGGAACACATCATACTTGGTAGCAGGAGGAGAAGTTAAAATAACATCGTCTTCAGAGCTACAGGAAGAAACAAACAGTGAACAGATATTGCGTTATGTGCAGGAGCAAATCAAACAATAAAATAAAGAGTGTGAGGTTATTTAGAAGAAGGTAGCTACCTAGCAGCAATAGCAACAGGTTGGTTACCATTACGCGAACGAGAGATGAGTCTGATGGCTTTAGAAATTGATACTCCCAATAGGATCAATAAAGCTTTTTGGAGCATTGAAGCAATGGTTGTGATAGAAGTTTCTAGCTTCAGCCTTCAGCAAGTAAGGTAGCTAGGGACAAGATTATCAACACTAGAAAACAGAAGAAATTAACAAATCTTTTTGCAATATTTGGCCTGTGCAAAGAAAACACCGATAATTTTAGGGAAATGCTTGCAAAACGGTACATTTTAACAGGACGAAGCAAGTGAAAGAGAAAAAGAAAAGAATTAATGGACAGTATTAGCCCGGTGGATGTCAGCTTAATTAGCTCACAAGGTCTAAAACATGTTAATTTCGAGCTTAATTTGCAGACGTTCTCCTCTTCAATCAAGTTCTTCAAACAAATTTAACGAATAATTAATAATTGAATGAAATGAAGTTTTCTAGGATTAACACAGACACTAGGGAAAGCACTGGTAAAGCTGGAGATGGGTGGGATCAAGCAAGTGGATTATCAAAAACGAGAATATGCCCTGTTGGTTTATAGCGATGCCTTTTTTAAGCATAACAACGAAATGGAGAGTGATTAGAATGAAAGAAAGAACATGCACTTTGCCTTTAATTTTATAATATAATAAATAAATCAACTGTTTACTTCATTTAAAAAATTGAATAAAATAAATGAAGACTTAGGTCAATAGATCTATGACTGCAAAGCAGTTAGGGAGGAGAATCAATCAATAGCTAGTACTGGGAGAAGAAAAAAGAAAATCTTTTGCAGAATTTTTCTGCGAAAATTCCCCTGGGGGTGATGCAGGGAAAACAGTAGAAGGATAATGGATCTATGCGATAAAGCGAGTAAAAGAGAAGAAATGAACCTGGACAGATGTGGAGGGAAGTGAAAGAAATAGCTCTCACAAAATGGCAGCTTCAGAACTCGCAAACTTTGCTTTCTCTTGAAACAAGCTTTTCAGTTCAGATTCAGAGATCACCAAATGCCTCACTCACATGTATTTGTCTTCGTGTTTCAGAGGCTCTTATTCCAGTTTCCGGGAAGCTCGCGTGTTGATGGTTTGGCTCTTGATTGACATGATATAAAGATCAAACAAAACTACTTAGCAAGTGGGAAAAAGTTGCGGAACGATCAATATATAGCAACTCGATGGAGAGTAACGATTGATGCTAAAATGAAGAGCATATATTTATGGATGGAATAATAGTGCGAAAGAAAGAGTCCATCGTGGGGCCAACTTACCAGTCAAGTCCACACTCCACACAGCAACTTTACTGATTTATTATTTTATTTTTTTACCAACAACTTGATTTATTTTAAAAGAAGCAGAGCCACAGTGAGTAAAAGTACACGCGTTGAAGGCGTATTAGCCAGGCCGTGTGTCAATGGTTTTTTCTTTCAAAAGAAGTTGGACGGAATAAATTCATATGCGTTGATATTTTTTGTTTGTTTTCTGTCGGGAAAAAAAAGGGTAAAAATTCCAGGAAAATACTGGTAAAACTGGAGATCGGTGGGATTAAGAAAATGGATCCCGAGAAAAGAGAATACGCCCTGCTGGTTGCCTTTTTCACGCATAACAATGAAATGGGGAGCGATTAAGGTGAACGAAAGAAGCACTTCGCTTTTTCAAATGAAATAAATAAATCAGTCGTTTACTTCGTTAAGAAAAAAATGAATAAATAAATGAAGAGCTTAATCAATAGATCAAGTGCGTGCATATCTTTGAAGGTTTTACGACTTTTTTTTTTTCAGAAGTTGAAGTGCAAAAGAAATTCAAATTTTTAAGTTTTATTAGATGGATGACAGTAAGGGAGCTAAGGAGGAGATTGAATCAGCAGCACTAGGAAAAGAAATAAAACAACAGATCTTTTGCAGGCAGAAGAATAGAAGGATGATGGATTCATGGGACAGAGCAATTAAAAGAGAAGAAAGAACCTGAATGTGGAGGGAAGCGCCAAAGAAATAGCTCATAAGCAAAGCTCGGTCTCAAAAATGGCAGCTTTCAGAATTTGCAGATTAGAGTTGCTTTCTCTTCAAACAAGTTGTTCAGATACAGCGATGAACAAATGCCTCGATTCCTAGCATATTTATGGGGTCCGGTTTCTCTCAGTATCGGTTTTCTCAGTATTTCTCAGAATCTATAAATCCTATTCGTTAAATTTATCTGAGCGTCCAAAAGGGGACACATCATGTGGTTTTCAAAACTGTCTCTCAACCGTCCATTTTGTTGCAACCGCGACCGTTCATTTAATTCCTTCTTTCGGCCAAATTCCATTCCATTAAAGAAAGAATGCAGTCCGCGACTGAAAAGCGAGTGCTTATCGTAAATGAACACTGTCGTAGATGGAGAAAATCAAAACAATGGTGATTGTATTGGGGGTTTTATGAAATACAAGGGGAGTATATGAGAGGAGGGAGTTTTTTTGAAGTAGCTTATGGACTGTTGGAATAACAGGTCTATTTAGATTAGTAGTAGAAAAAATAATTTATTTTCAATCTGATTCTTAAAAAAAATAAGATTGAGTAAAAGTTAAATTGAGTAAGACAAATTATGTTTGGAATGGAGTTTTAAAAAATTAGTTTGTAAAAATTAGATTGAGTAAAAGATTATTTAGATTATGATTGAATAAAAATAAGTTTGTTTATAAAATTACCAAAATAGGTATGAGTTTTAATAAATAATAAAACAAATTTACATAATACAATAAATTTAAATTAATTTAACATAAAAAAGTAAAATTTAATGGGGGAAGGCTGAGTCAGCAAGCCAAGTCGTGTCGCGTTTGTCATTTTTGCGGATTGCGGTGTTGCTTCCTTGTATTATCCTTTGGCCATTTGCTTGTTCGGCGGGTGAGCGTGTGTCTCCTTTTCTCTTTTCTTTTCTTTTTCTCTTTATAACTACTTCGAAAGTGGGACGAAGTTGCGAGACAACTAAACTTTACTTATTTATTTCATGTTTTTTTATCAACAACAACTTTATTTATTTTACAACTAGTTATAGGAAATGAAAGTACGCGTGTTAAAAATGAAAGTACACGTGTTAAAGTTGCTTTAATGGTTTTGGTGCTTTAATTTCTTTATTATTTCTTCTACAAAGAAATTTCCAAGCTTTTGCTCTTGGGGCCGACATAGCGTTACGTTCTTTATGCGCACAGCACTGTTTGACAATTATATAAATGCATATTTTGGAGGTTCTGATATACCACCGCCTTCCAATTTTTATTGTAATACCCCAACCTTCTTATTCTCTGTCCCGTATTAAATGTAAGGAGTACATATCTAATTTTAATTTAAAGAGATTAAAAAAAATTAGTTCAGATAATTATTTGTGAAAAAATATTCTTAATATATGCAATCCACATGTAAATTTTTCTAAAATAGCTTTTATATAATTGTAGTAATTTCGTATTGCACACCTTAGAATAAGAACATGTGGAATGCTTATATTGTTTCTCTCATTTTTGCTCTGTTTTAACATCTTAATAGACTTATAATTCTTCTGTTGCAAACTAGTATTGCCACGTAACACCCAAAAAAAAAAAACTGCGCACACTAAAATCACTTCAAAAGAAAGAAGTAGAGATAGAATTGTAGCAAATTTTCTTTTCTTTTTTGTTTTGTGTAAAGAAGTTAAAAGGATTTACACAAAACAGAGGGAGCATTATTTACTAACATCTCTTTCTTCTTTGAGAGCTCTCGATGTATTGGGGATGATTGTTTCCTTTGGTGCTTAATTTAATGGTGTTCTTTGAAAATGTATCTTTTTGGCAAAAAAGTTCTTTTTTGGTCGCATATTTATGGGCTTTGATATGGCCAAGAAACAGAGTAAACCACACTCATTGATGATTATGCCGGTTGAGTTAAAACAAAACCTTTGTGTTTTTCTCCATGTTGAATCGTGCAGACAAAAGCAAGTCATTTTGGTATGTACCATGTGATATTTTTAAAGGAAGCCATTCAAATGTTTTGATCATGGATTTTAAGTCTTCATACTCTTAATGCTTGGCATTTTGTTATCGAGTATTATTTTAATATCCTTTTTACCTATTCTGTTTGCTTGTGCTTAGCAACGTAGAGCAATATTTATTTCCATCATGACAGTTATGAATTCAAATTTGTTCAGGAAACTCATATTGATGGCGATACCAAACTTCTAGATGACTCTGAAATTTATCAGCAATTACTAAAAGAGTTTTTCAAGACAGTCAACCCTACATCATCCGGTAAGTAATAATTCCCTTGTTTCTAGCTGAACAGGTATTATTTATATATTGTATTCATATTTTTACTTCTGATGATGTCGTTAGAATATTAGACTGGTCAAGACATCCTCTTTTGTTTAACTTATAATGTATTTTGGCAATTATGAGCAAATTACACTTGATATGTAGCATGAAAGGTTTCCTAGAAAGATTGTAGAATTAGTAGTGATTTATCATTTTTTTTCCCATCTAAATAGTTTTGATCAAATTTTTTGAGCCTAGAATTAGCATGAACTGCCTTCCTAGAAATCATAGAGTTAACCTTATGCCATGCAAGCAGAAGTCATGTTCTTATTTTCCGCTGTTGTGAATCATACAGAGAAAGTGCTTTATGCTTTGAAGAAGATGCAACCGAAGAAAAGGAAACTTGTCGATCATCAGGCCTCAAAAACTCGCAAGATAAGGTTAATTGATGAAGATGGCATTTCCTTGTTTCGTTCCATTACTTTTTGTCACATGTATATACATATATATACCGCTATATTCTCCAGAACTGAAAAGAGATTTTTGACTAATTTGCTGTTTATATTGTGTAATGTGGCATTGAAGGTATAATGTTCATGAAAATGTCGTAAACGTCATGGCTCTTGAGTCCACGACTCTTCCACCTATGGTTCCTAAACTTTTTGGAGATTTGTTTGGGTTAAAGTCACAGAGATTATCTACTGGGTTAACATAATCATGCGCTTGGAAAACAGATAATGGCATCAAGTGTTGTGTAGTAACTTGTCATAATATATTTGTACTTATTTAGTCAATATTATATTGTTTATTGAGGAATTTTATTTTTCCCCTTAAATGACAAAAATTTAGTATAGTGGTGAGGATCGGTAGTTTACATAAGGTTTTAATTTCAAATCTTCTATGTTCTTAATGTATTTATCTTTCATGGACAACATATATTTCCATGAGCAATTTGTCCAACTCAGGCATAGTTATCCATTACGTTCATATTGAATAGCAATTCCATTATGAGGGATGATGCGGTGACATAGATAAATCTTATTTTAGATTCATACATTAATAGCAAGTGATTATTTTCCCCTTTTTTTTTTTACATGCTTGATACTTTAAGTTTACATCAAATTTCATTTTAATTTCTTAAGTTTTTAAAGTGTACTTTTAGTTGCTTAATTTTAACATGTTAAATTTAAGATTAAACTAAAATTTAATGCAGATTTTTGAAGGACTAAACATATATGTTATACCTTTTGTGATTAAATCTATATGTAACTAGGATAAATTCAGTAATTTAGTGAAAAGATTGATGTTATTACCTGTGTCACGAACTTGAAAAGATTGATCAACCCTATAAATAAAATCAATAAAAACAGGAACTTTTGTCAATTAACTGCTAGTCTTAGAGCTACTTGTACCACATTTCCAAAACTTAATAACTATTTCAAAGTTGATTAATAAATCACACCTAAGATAAATGCATGCCTCAAAACAATTTTAGTCATATTTAAAGAAAGGATTTTTTTTTTTTTAAAGGTGGAGTCTAACTAAAAAATTTTCAGCAGGCAAACAAATTAAACTGAGGAACTTGAAGTTAAATATTGAGACTAACTGAAAATTTTAACAAATAAATAAATATTACTCCCTCCGTTCCTTATTATAAGAGACAAATAACCGAAGTACGTTGATCAAAAAAACAGTTAAAATTAGTTAAGAACAATTAATGTGTAAAAAGTATAATTTTTTTTCCTAAAATACCCTCATTAATAAGGAGAAAGAGCATGAGAGAGAACACTTAAATTATTAAAAGAAAGAGAAGTGGGAGGGAGAGAGAGTGTGAGTTGGAGATAATAAATATGGGTAAAATAGTAAATCAACACAAAAAAGTAGAGACAACTTGTAAGTGTCTCTTATATATAGGAACATGCTATAAACATCAAATGTCTCTTATAATAAGGAACAGAGGGAGTATTAAGAGCATAAAATATAGAATAATTTTTTTAAAAAAAACTATTACCATGTCATTGTCGAAAAATGATAGGTATCATTGTGCCTCCATTAACAAAAAGAAGTTATAAGAGTAAGAGATAAGAAAAATTAATTAAAATCTTTCAACCCTACTTCATTTTCATAAAAAATCAAGCTTATTAAATTTTTCACTCTCCCATTATCATTCAACCAGACAAAGTTAATGAATAAAGACATGTGGTTTTTGCTGTAAAAAAAATAATGCCGTTTCATGAAGTGAACAACTTATTGTAATAAAATATGAGTTATGGTAATACTTCTTGTTATAGTTTAATTTGGTAAAATATATGTTATGCAAGCAGGCTATACATGTTTTTGAAGTACAAGTTAGGGGCTACTCTATGCATGGTAAATAATGAATAATCCCAAGGAAATTGCTTTGCAATAGAAAATTATTTCTCCACTTATTTTTAAATAAGTTATACAATGTACACACGCAGAAAGTAACAAACGATAGAACAATTATTGAAAAGAAACATTGAGATTAATAATTTCTAGTGTTTTCTAAGGTTGTGAGGAAGCGCTCGATGAATCACACTTCAAAATATATATATATATATATCATTGATGTCACATAATATGAAGGGAAAATTACTACTAGATCTCAAGTGAGAAAACCAAGTAGAAATAGATTTTTTTTTGAAAAAAAGTGAAAATGACCACAATGCCAATTAACCACGTTGATCAACTTGGAATGATTGAAGGTGGCCGATCAAACAAATATCTTTTATTTTAATGTAGTTTACAATTTAAATATTATAACATTTTAACATTTACAAGTTGAGCTAATTCATAAGTAATCATTCTAGTTTCTTATAATAAAATTGCTTAGTAAGGAAATAGTTTGTCATGCTAGTTATTATAGTCACATCACATGGAGAGTAACACACACAACAGGTGCAGTTATTGTGAAGCCAAAATAAGATTAACAATTTTTATGCTATAAAGTTGTGAGGATGCCCTTCGTACATGAATTACATATTAAAAAAAACAGAAAAATTAATATTTCATAAAAACATAATATTAATATGTAATAAAAAATAAATGAGACTGATAATTTTATGACCTGAAAACTTTAAATGATAATTAATATCAACAACAGTACTTCATAAAGTGAACAACTAAGTCATGACCACAGTATTCACTGTTGAAAAAAAGAAAACAAGAACGTTGTAGCATCCTCTCCAAGTAGTTATAAAAGACTTTGAAAGAATGATGAGGTAAAGGGGATATTGGGGAAGAGAGTTGTACTCCTAAAAGAGGCTGAATCCTTGCCCTGCAATCTTCATTAAGTGATTTGAGGAATATTGAAACTTGAGGGATACTGCTGCAACCTGCATTATTATTCCCAATACTATCACCCTCTTTTAATGTCAGTCGAATTAATAGTGACCAGCGAGGGATGGTGTTAGGAATAAGTAGTGTTGATAACAATGTATCGTCCATCTTACTATCATCCTCATCTAGTCTTTTCTTGTTCATCTTCCATTAATAATAATGTCATCTCTACTACTTGATCACCTTTACTACTCATTTCTCTATCATCCTCACTGATCATTTCTCTATCATCCTCACTAATCATTTCTCTATCATCCTCATCCTCTTCTTCATCATCTTTCACAGCCCTTTCACCTTTATCACCCCTCACCCTCACAATAATACCAGAGGGAACATTTTCACAAAATTATTTAAATATTTGAATTACATATTGTGAAAATCTTATATAAATACACTTGAATTCTAAAATTCCAAATTAGTAATTCTAATTTTACAAGTCTAGCCTATAGGTATTAAATTAGGATTTGCAAATTTTGTTAAATTACCTCCATACCCATTCTCTCATTTCCTTTTTATATTCTTTCTATGAATAATTAAATTGATAGCCACCAAACATTTTCATAACTTCAGTAACATTATTTATAATTGTTTTTAACCACTTACAAACTCCAGAGGAATCCAATCAGGAGGGAATCATTGTTTAAGCTGTTTTCTACATTTGTAACAAAATTGTCAACATTTCCAGCCATTTTCACTTAGTAATGTTATTAACAACTCTTTTTATTTTGTGTTATGTTATATTTAAGCCGTTTTCTACACTTCAATAGTATTTACAACTATTTTTTTGCCATTCCCAACCATTTTCACAAAATTTACAACTACTTTTTTGCAATTTCAAAACTTGGTAATTCAACCAATGAGGTTAATTATTTAAGCCATTTCCTACAATCACAACGATATTGACAATAGGTATAGCCATTTTCATAACTTTGAAAACGTCATTAACAACTATTTTTTTTTTGGTAATTTCCAAACTTGACTAATTCAACCAAAGGATTTATTATTTAAGCAATAAGTGTTCATACATCATATCAAATTCCACATTGATGAAAAAACGACCCCCTATACAATTTCATTAAACATTGCATAATATGATGAACCTTATTTTTGGTGAGTTTGACGACTACAGTTATTTCATTTACCAAAAATCAGAATGCCCATGTAGTAACTTCATTTGATTTTACCATAGATGAGGAAGAAGAAGGTTTAGTTGGGTCACTTTTCTCTATAGAAGATAACCCCCAGTCATTGTTCTGATTCCTATGGCTTCCTTCGTAGAAATAAAAAAACAGAAGCAGCAATGTCAAGCTCTCTCTTATCTAGCTCAAGAGATACATAAGATGCATGTTTGTTTAGATCCTCCTGCGAATTGCCAAAAAAAGATATCCTCCCTCGAATTAGCAATTACAATATATATTCGCTCTTACATATATGAGTGATTACCTTAATCTATTTTCTATCCCACATTTATATATATTCTTTTAAATTATCCCTATCAACAAGGGTTGGAAGATATTTCCAAAAAAAAAAAATAATATACATTTTTTTCCAAATAACTAATTTGAATAATTTTATTAATTTCTACAAATTTACTATCTAGCTTTATGTTAAGTACCGAAGAGTAATTTTTGAGCGTATGACAAAAATAATAAAATGTGTGATTACTTTTTGTTTCAGCTAGGTACATATACCACTCTATTAGGAGTACCTACTCTAAAGTATTGTTAGCACTACGTACACGAGAGTACATCTTTAAATTTTGATCTGTCATCATGGTTAAACTGGCTTCTCTCCTGACGTAATTGTGAGATTGGATGGACGTTGCTTCTTGGAATCTGTTAGCCAGGGCCCTCTGCTACAGTTTTCGAAGGAGAGCAACTTCTCTCTCTTGATGCCGCTTGTTTAGTGCTTTTCCGGCGTCTTCCGGCATCTCTTGGGTTTTGGTCTCACCTGTGTGTTTCTCTTATTCACCTCTCTTGTTTAGTTTTCCACCTCCTCTTTCATCCTTTGTTTTTCTTTGTTTTTCCACCACCTTTCCACCTCCTCTTGTTTAGTGCTTTCCACCTCTCGTCTCGTTGCCTTCCTCTTCACCCCTCCACTTTTGTCACAGTCATCCACCTTCCTTTTTTGCTTGTTTTCTTCCCTTTGTTTGCTGCCTGTCCTTCATCTTCCTCCACTAACTTTATCTCTCTCTTATTTTCTTTTAATCGAGCAACTCTTTCCTTTATCTCCACCCCATCTTTTTTTTCTTCTTTGGCGTTTTCCTACCTTTATCTCCAGTTTTTTCTTTTCCTATGACTTTATGTCCTTCCTTTTTTTTCCCTCTTCCCCTTTTACTCACTGCTTCTTCTTTCT